CACTGTGAAATATGAAAAACGATGATGCATCAACACTATCAATTCCCTTTACAATCTTACACACCTCAATCAGATCCCCCTAACTTTTCTATGTTTCAAGAGAAAACAGTTTGAGAGATTTCAGCCACTTCTTGTATGACAACCCCTCTATCCCAGGCACCATTCTAGTAATCCTTATCTGAACCCTTTTCAACAATTCAAAGTCTTTCCTAAGGTAAGGAGCCCAAGACTTAACACAACAGTCAAAATGTGGCCTAACCTGTGATTTGTACAGTGAAATTATAACCTCTTTAGACTTCTATTCAATATTTCTCTAGATACAACCTAAAATTCTATTTGCCCTACCACTATCAACAGCACACTGCTTGGATGGCTTTAGAGACTGATCGACTATTACACCAAGATCCCTTTCCTTCATATCACTCTTGAGGTTATTCCCATCCAAATTATACTTATTATTCAAACTATAATACCCCACATGCATTATCTTGCACTCATTATAATTAAAACCCATCTGCCATTTATTTGCTCAACTCACTAAATGATCTAAATCAGCAGCATCCTCTTCACAGCTAGCAACACCCAAGACCATAATATCACATGCAAATTTAAGAATTTATTCACTATTCTTTCATCTATGTCATTGATGTAAATCAAAAAGAGCAAAGGTCCTAAGACTGAGCCCTGAGGTACCCCACTTGTAACATTAATCCAGTTTGACTGAACTCCATTTATAACAACTCTCTGCTTTCTTCCATCCAGCCACTCTTCTATCCAATTTGCTAACTTATCCTCCACACCTATAGATAAATTTTTTCTACAAGTCTGTTATGTGGCACCTTGTCAAATGCTTTCTGAAAATCCAGATACACCAAATCTCTACACCCTTACCCTCATCTACATATATAGTAACCTTTTCAAAGAATGTCAAAAGATTTGTAAGGCAAGATTTTCTCTTAGTAAAACCATGTTGACTATCCGATAAAATTCTAAACTTTGCTAAATAACATCTTTTAACAGACTTTCCAAAACTTATGACCATAACTGATGTAAGACTAATGGGTTTATAGTTACTGGGACACTTTTTTATCACCTCCCTTGAAAAGAGGAGTTACATCTAGCTAGCTTCCAATACTCTGATACCTTCCCTCTATTCAAGACTGACAAAAAAATAGTAGTATATGGCTCACATATCCAATCTTTATCCTCCTTCAAAACTCTTGGGGAAATGTTATCTGGCTCAGGAGCCTTATCGTTTTTTATAATTACCAAGTTTTTATAAACCAACTCAGAATTAATGCAGTCATCTTGTTTGATCTCATTTCCATTTATCAACTGCTCAAGATGTGGAATACTGCTTAAATCTTTGTTAGTAAAAACCAAAGAAAAAGCAAAATTTAATAACCCAGCAATCTCGTAATCATCAGATACTAGCCATCCTTTATCATCCCTCAAGGGTCCTACCCTCATCCTGACATTTTGTTTACCCTTAATATATTTAAAGAAATCCATACTGTTAATATTTACATTTGCAGCCAACCTTTTCTCACACATTCTTTTTGATGTCCTAATTTCCTGTTTCACCAACTTTCTTGATATTCTATAATCTTCTAATTCTCCTGTCATACCTGTTAATTTAAATTTATTAAATTTTTTGGTTTAATTTTATCTCTTAAACTCTTTGTGGGCCAAATTGGTTTTTTGCTTGCAGCTACCCTTTTCTTTCTAAAGAAAATTGTTTACCTTGCATATTTAAAAATAAATCAGTTCAGTAAGGTTTCTGACCTGACATTTTCCAATTATCATGGTAATTGGCAGGAATGTTTATGCCATGGAGATACAAGATTTTGTCAGATTTCACATTTCTAGGTTAAGTAGTTATAATGTGAGATGCCACCAAATATTTAACCAAAAATGGCTCCTAGATGAGATCAGTGACATAAAAGTACCAATAACTTTTTAAATTTTAATGCTACAGTAGAAAGTTAACTATAGTTGAAAAGCTCTCTTTGCATTATATCCAAATGACATTTTTTTTTCAAATGTC